AGATTTAACTATGGTTAAACAACCAACTCTTTAAACCAAACAAATCCAATTTTCATTTTGCCTTCACCAAATTAAACTTGTCAATTGGGACGGTTCCATGTCCCCATAAAGCTTGGGCATATAATTAAAAAAAGCGAAAGGATAAAAAAAAAAAAAATACGAAAAAGGAAAGAAGCCATGAGGACTTATGATATGAAACGACAAATTTACTTGATCCATGCGAATCTGGAAATTGAGTGATTCCTTGTTACTGGATATAGGAGCATCCATGACAAGACTGGTTACAAGTTATAGCCAAATTACCCCTTGACGCAAAAAAATTTAAAAAAAAATAATTAATTACACCAATTGCGATGCATTATTTAGTTGATAATATTTCGAAAATTAATGATTCAAAACAGATATACTTATATCGGGTGGCTGGTTAAGCAGATGTTTTAGTTAAAAACAAAATGAGTTTTTTTCTTCTTTTCTTTTTGGGTAAAAGCAAGTTGTATTACTCAAAAGAAACAGAAGCAACACGTGGTATGCAAAATAAGCAACTTGGCTTTTGCCCTCTGTCATACACTTAGCATATTCTAACTAAGAATTGCAAGTCAAGAAAGATCAACAATCTTTTTGTGAAAGAAAACCAAAACATTTATATTGAAGAAGGTTAGATTGAAATACAGAAGTAAAAGAAAATAAACATAGATTACATAACATAAAAATCTAGCTGAGCAAAAGAAACTGGATGGAGAAAAAGCTTTGTATCATGTGAAAGATAGATCATGCTTTAAGATCAACTAATTAAGCCCCAGTTCTCAATAAATCATGGGGATAATTAATTTGAAAATCCTTATAGTTTTCTTCAATTTTAAATTAGGTCCCTGCATTTTTTTGGGGGGGGGGAGGGGAGAGCAAAGGCAAGTGAAAGCTAGATGCAATTTGGACTCAGTCTCGTCTTATCCAATCCCTTTCCTTCAAAAGCCACCAATGCTTATCTTGACATTGTCTCTCCTATTTCTTCCGCTTCTATGTGCAACACTTGAGAGCAACATTTGCTCCTATTTATTTTAATTCCTCCATTCGTTATTTATTTATTTAAGGAAGCAGTGAGAATCTGAACGGTGGGAATCTGAGAGTAAAATAGAATATTATGCCATTTGCATACTATTGTACCAACCATTCTCTTTAAGCTTCCCCTGTTTTGGTAATAGAAAAACAGAGTACTATCGCAACCCCCCATGCCTTCGAGAATTGATTATAGATTTCTCAGAATCTTCACTATATATGCATATATAATTTTGTCATCATCGAATCATATATATGCATTAATTCATTCAATTGAACCGTTCTAATTCTGGTTTGAAGCATATGTTATATAATAGAATATCCTCTGAGTGCCGGCTTCTTTTTTCGGATGTCACAATTTGAACAACACAACCACATTTTTTTATAGGCTTTTAATTCTCATTCTTGTTCACTTTCTATATCTGTTTGTGTTATGATATTTTTATTATAATATATTTTGTCTTCTATAAAGAAAAAAACAACTTTGCTGCGAGGACCATTACAAGTAGAGAGAAGGGGAGAGGGAGCGAGGGAGAGATGGCTTTTCTAACTTCAATAATGGAGATTCGAGAGTCAAACCATTGAAAATCTCACTTGTGAATTAGGCATTTCAAAGACTAAATAAAATAAAGGAATTGACATAAAATATCATTCTATTAATATATATATATATATATATTTATATGTATCCCTGATTTTAAAAGTAGGGGATAGATAATTGATTTACATCAATTAAGAAATATAGTTAAGTTATTTATATGTAAAAAAGGGATATTAGTTTTTGTAAAATACATCTCCTTCAGGTTGGCAAAAAAAAAAAAAAAAAAAACCCTTTCAAAACTATTAGTAGAGGTAGTCTGTGAAAAAAAAAAAATAACAAATATGGGAGACAAAAGGGATTAAATTTTACGCTTAAGATCAAAATAAAACAAAGTCCATCAAATCGCTCCTCTGTTTAGAATGGAGAGAGTATAAAACTAGTTCGAGCCGAGTTAACTATAAAAATTGTGAAAAACTTTTGGGGAAAAAAACAGAATTGTGAAAAATTAGCATTATTTTTGGATAGCATGACTTTTTCTGTTTTTTTTTTTTCCGGCCGCCAAAGACTTTTCAAATATTATATGTAAATATGTGTATGCACGTGTGTGTTAACTTAAAATAAAATAAATTACGTTATTTATAAGTTATGATAGCATAGTTTATCTTTTAGATTTTATATAAAAATACATGAAACACATTTTGATGTTAGAAAGATATGCAGAGTTATCCTAGGCGTAAGTAGGAGGCCGTTGTGCTATTTAAGCTGGAGTTGATGTCACTTACAAAGTTACAAATATGAATAGGAGGATTTTTTTTTTAAAAAAAAAAACTATCATTTTCTCCCAAATTAATTTATTTAACAACACTAATTTTATAAGAACAGAGAATTACAATGAAATCCTAATAAAAGAAAATAATTACTAGTAAATCTCAATGACAAGTGATTAATTGTCATTCATTATCGTGAAATTTATTATTATAAGCTGCTCTGCTGTTATTAAAACTTTTTAATAATTATGTTCTTTACTTAGGATTTCATAGCAATTGTACTTTTTATGAAGATAGATATTTTGTACCTGTTTGTTTCTACAACTATCATTATATTAATAATATGGAATATAATTAAAATTCTTGAAAAAAATTATTAATCACAGGTCATAGCAAGATAATTTATTTTACTTATTTTACTTTTGGAGATTTTGTATCAAACACGGCAAAGGCATATTTCGTTCTTCACTAAAAAAAATATGAAGAAAAATTTTCCATCTCCCCAACTTGATCATCAACTTGGGATAACCACGCACCTTGCAAGAGCACTCATTTGTCCTTTCTTTTATTTTATGACTTGTTTGTTTACGCAACAATCAATATGTGTGTGTGTATATATGATCATAGTTACAACAAATTTTTTATATTTATTATGTCAAATTCTCTAATTATGTATAGACATGTGTCCTATTTTTGAAACATTATCATTTAATTATAAACTTAAATACAATGTGTGTGTGTGTATATATATCACTTGGTTGACATAATAGACATAAAAAACTCAACCTACATATTTTTCATATATATATATATATATAGTTTATGATCAAATATACCAACCTTAGATAAATTAAAAAATCAAATAAATTTGTTAATTATAAAAAAAATAACACAATCTTGCTAAAATACTCCTACAAAACAATACATATATATATTAATTTATAAATTAGGAAAATTAATTTGGAAAAAATGATAAATATGAGAAATAAAGTAACTTATGATTTTATATTTAGGACTAAATCCAACCACAAGCAACTTTTATGTTAAGAATTAAAAATAGTATTAATTATAAATAATAACAATGTAATTAAGTTTATTTATTTGTTAGACCCATCAGACCCATTGTTCTTAAAAAAAAGAAGACAAGCTGTCATTCTCACCAACTTCAATCAGCAACTTGATCTTCAGCGGACTACTAATAAACGTGTGCATGAGAACCATCAAAACAAGTTGGGGGGAAAAAAAACTACATAAATACACTTACCATCAAATAATAAAATATTATCTCTAATTTTTAATATAAGAGCTAGTTGACTAATTTGAGTAGATTAAGAAAGATTATTAAGTTAATTATTTGTAATAAATATGTGTTATCTAATCTTGTGTGTTAGTCAGAACTACCATTTAATGAAATCTTTAACATGTGTAATTATTATAAGGACTATTTTGAAAAAAATAAATAGATATAAGAGACAAAGTGAATTAGTGTCTTATATTTAGGATCAAATTAAGTATCAAACTAACTCTTATAATAAGGACTGGAGGAAGTAAATAGCCCATTTGTCATTTCCATATTCAGTTCCTCTTCATTTCCATAAAAATTATTACCAAAATAAGTCGTCATTTATTGTTTCCTCTATGTCATGCTCATAAAACTTACTACTTTTGATCATAAATATAAAAATTACTTAACTAATTTAAATAAATTAAAAGTTTAGTTAAATTAGTTATATTTAAGAAGTATGGGCTAATTTTCCTAAAGAGTCCTTTTAATCAAAACTACTATTAATATGTGTAATAAATAGGAATACTTTAGAGAATAAATTATAAATTTAAAAGACATTGAAATAAAATCTTACATTTAAAACCAAATCAAATCATTATCCTTTTTTTGCCTGAAAATCAAATCATTACCTAACTCTTATATTAAGTACCAAAGATAATATTTAAAAAAGATATGTTGGATGCATACGGTGGGAAAGGAGACTGAAAGTTCACCAAAAGTTCTTGGGCTATCAGATGAAAGAAAAATGCATATGCTACACGTTATACTGCATTCCAATGTTTTCCACAGAATAATCACATAGCAATTCTTATATTTGCATGTATAATTGAATATTTGAATCAAGCTTTAATATGATAAATACTACTTCTGGTCTTAAATATAACATCTAATATGTAATTATAAACTAAATCTTATATTTAAGACAGAAAGCATCAACATCATGGACTTGGAATGCAACATGTTGGCGAGAGGCTACCTCAAGATGCTCAGCAATTTCTAAAAGCTGATGCATACTGACGCATTGATCACCAGTTGCTGCATTTAACTCGTGGCTTCTCTAGGGAGCTTACACTATCAATTATCATTACAACTTGTATCTCAAGTCACGACAATATATACCAACAAAAAGGTTAGGCAAATAATTTGACCAATGGTTTAATCTTCTACGCTCATAGCTCTCAATATCATATTCAAGTCTATTAATTACAGAATTACAAAACCATTTGTGACATCCGTTCTTCATCAATCCTTTCATCAGGATCTTCCTCTTCTTTGCTTACGTCAATATGTTTGCCCTGGCCGGAGCCTTCCAGCAATTGCTGATTGCTTTATGTAATGCTTTCGTCACTCTGTATTAAGGAAACCTGATCTTACAAGAAAGAACTTCTTTTGTAATTCCAAACAAGCATAGAAATGAAACTCTTTGATGGATGTGTTTAACAGTGCTTGTGGGCACAAATTCTGGCCAGGATGTGTTCCCTTGCTCTGCTTCACTTTCAAGACTGTTCCATATGACATTACTCTTTGATGGACGATAAAACTCCTTGATCTTCCCTTCCATCCAGCGGTCCAACCCATCGAAGCAAATATTGGCCAACAGAGGACTAAGAATTCCACAATGCCCCCAATTTGGAATTTTCTCTGCCTTCTCAGGGGCAAATCCAAAAAACGTTTCCAACCAATAGGGATCAGGCTTGGGCTCATCCTCTGCTAGCACCCTTTTCTTCTGGAACTTCCTCTTCTTCTTCTTCTTTTTCTCCCCATCATCAACTGTACAGGTGATGACTGGCGTTGTCAATGCTGTTTTCACTGGATTGATAATTTTTTTTATCCCTCACATCTCTCGTTAAAGCATTTATCACTAACCCTACCTTCATTTCATCCAAAATTGTACTCAAATCACCCTTTATATACCACAAATAGCCTGCGAAATTCCTTCTAATTACCCTCCTCAAGACTCTGGGAATTCCTTCCTGCTCTGTATGCAAATGACTTCTGTGAAAATCGAGCTTCATAAATTGGCTCCAAAATCATAAGCAGAACTTCCTGAACAATTTTATTTTGAAATGGCGCTGGCTGTGTAGTAGTCAAAATTGCTTTAATCTTTATCTTTGACAAGGACGGATAATCAGTCTTATCCTTGGGAGATTTTATAAAGAAGCCCAGCCGAACTCCCCATTTGAACCTATCATCAAGAACAGCATTTCTAAGAGCCAACTAGTCTTCCAGAGCTGACCTTTGCACAGCACTACGAGGGAGAGAAGCCCCTGTCTCATCAGCACAAAACTTCTGGTAAGCCAATACCCACAATTCAAACCGACGAAAATATGAGGTCAAGTTAGTCACAACCCTATCAGGTTCCCGGTAATTCTCAATCCACGTTTGACAACAAACTGAAACCCCAGCCTCCTTCATCAAAGTGGAGGGATCATTAGGATCTGGTGCATGTGGGCGCACTGGAGTAAAGGAGGGCGACCGATAGTTCTGCAACTAGGTTGAGAAAATATCCAAGTGGAGTTGCTAAGTGTCCGTAAAATATTGGAATTTGAGATAAATTGGTGACTAAAGATGGCTAGTCGTTGATGCATCTGGCTTTTACAAGATCTCAGCTACTTCAGATCATTTTAGTTCACAATGAAGAAAAGCACAGAGAAGATCCGCAGTTCTCCCCTGCAATTGAACCATATATAGCTCTTCAACTGAGGATGACATCACAGAAAATAGGAATGAAAGAGATTAGATATTAAACTTTAAAGTAAAGGGAATTGCAACTCATGAATTAAATTTGTGACTGGCTTTCAAAGAAAGGTAAAACCAGACGGTAGAAATCAGAAATTCAAATGGCAAAATTCAAAAGCTCAAAATGTCAAAACAGAACACAACTCTATCATGTGCATTAAAATCATGTATATTGACGTATATGCTTTATCCAAACTGAGATATGTTTCATAAATGTGGAAGGTATTAATTAATTAAAGAAAAAGCACAAGAAACGGAGATTTTAAGTGAGAAACAACTCAAACCTACTTCTACATGAATGACAAAATTTTTACCCACACAGGGAGCGGCAATAGGGTTAAGCTTGGGTGAGAAGGCACTCCGAACACTCTGTCCCAACCATTTCCATGGTTTCCCCATAATGGGGGGCAAATTTTCCCCATCCCTATTCCACGCAAGCAAGACAGAACCAACGGAGTGGCCAAATAGAAGCAAATGAATTACAAAATTTTTGCAATCATCCCACATATTAGGGAAAGCATACTGATAACTATGAACTAAGCATTCCAAAAACACAATCGAAGTTCTTTCTTTTATTTGGTCAGCGCCTTTGACAAGAACATTAGCGTGCTACAATAGTGCAGTGTTGTACACACAAATGCTGTTGTTGAACTTGAAGACCATGATTGAGCTCTCCAATATCGGTTCATGACAGGCTCAGAATTTAGCTTTCAGCAAAACCTTGTCAAGATCCCAGGAAGGAATGGAAGACCTAGAGTTAAAATAAATATTGTAATGCTTGTGAGTCCAGGAACCACTCATATGCCAAACCCCAGGTATCACTGTCGGACATAAGTTAGACACCAAGCTGCTTTGGACAGGCTATCAAGCTTAGATTCATATGTGGGAACTTCGTAAATAGTTTCTATTTTTGTATTCCTAAAATCAGACACAAGTCTTTCACGCAGAAGCCACCGAGGTTTGGAAGGTGGAGCACAAACACATTTGAAAATTTGTAAATGAAAATTCTAGACAACCTTGTTATATGCAACTTGACAGTTAAAAACCCGAAGGAAACAAAGCAAATATAGTAATGTGCATTACCACAATATGATGCCTTAAGCATATTCTGAATATCTTTTATAGTGAAATTACCTGCCTGCTTGAAATAGAAATGTTATAGCATTTAGAATAAACTGTAGCCAGAAAGTTTAAAAGCAGTTCTCGTATCCATTACTTTTCTTACCCTGTCAGCATCTCCAAACCTTCCAGCACCAGCAAGAATATTGGACATGAAAACATAATCCCCAGAATATTCTCTCTCCATCTCCAGTATTCTCCTCATCACCCTCTGACTAATTTTAACATTTCCATGAAAATTGCAAGCACCTAAAAGTGTCCGCCAAATCACGACATTGGCAACCTCAAGAGGTGCCTACAAAGCAATATTTTCAGCTTCCTCCAACCTGCCTGCCCTTCCAAGCATATCTATTAGACAGCCATAGTGCTTGATATCTGGCACAAGCTGACAATCATTAGCCATTTTATGGAAAAACTTGAGCCCCTCCTCCACCAATCCTCCATGACTACACGCGTTTAAAACACTCAAAAACGTCACATGATTTGGCTTGATCCCAGCCTTTTCCATGGTTTCAAAATACTCTACAGCCTCTCTTCCCAGACCATGCATTGCAAAACCTGAGATCACTGATGTCCATGATACCAAATTTTTCTTGCAAGCAGATATCTCCTGAAAGAATCTGCTTGCACTTGCTATGCATCCACATTTTGCATAAGATTATATCAGTGAATTCATAATGCGTATATCAGAGGCACTGAAGCCTCTCTTTTCCGCATAGCCATGGACTGATTGACAAATCACAATGAACCCAAGATTTGAAATGGCTGGGAAAATGGTCAGAAGAGTCACTTCAGTTGGTCTTATGTTATCTCAAATAACCATTTCCCTAAACGTAGTCAATGCTTTACTAGGCTTATTCATGCGTGTGAATCCATCCATAATAATTGCCCAGGAGAAAAACACTCCGAACTGGCATTTTATAAAATAATGACAAGGCAAGGTCAAACTCACCGCATTTAATCAAACCGGTAATGTAAACACAGTATTTTTTTTTTTCCCAGGCATTCTGTCGAGCACTTGCGCCGCTTCGATTAAGAGACCCCAGGTTGGGTACATCTGAAGTAAAGCAGTTTGCACATATAAGTGGAAGTGCAAACCCACTTTGAATATGACAGAATGAATCTGCATTCCAAGGTGAGCGCAGTTTGAATTGGCACAGGCATGACAGAGGAAGGCATGAGTATAGCTGTCAAAGGAACAATAAGTCAGAAATGCATGGCAGTTTAGGGAAGGTATACCAAACCTAACAGCTTCTTCAGGAAAGAGGCCAAGAGAGTAACAACGAATCAGAGTGTTGAAGAGAAGCAAACAGGAAGAGGCGCAATAAAAAGGGTATAGAAGCATCCCAGAGGTGATGATATGACAGTGGCCTTGCTGGGCAGCTTGGTGGTTTGATGCGTCTTTGAGTAGAAGAGAGACCAACTGCTGCGGATGCTTGGCTCAGGAATGGCAGGAAGACATACTAAATTCAGAGGAAGGATGGCGTTGAAGAATTTGGAGAGACATGGCTACTAAACAAGTGGACACAGGGTTCCTCCCCCTCAAATTTGACAGAGGAAAGAATGGTCACAAAGACTGAGTGTAACATGGCCGTTTGGCAAACATTTTTTTTTGTTTTTACTACTATATAATTGTTACACCATGACAATAAGATTCATCCGCTGGATTATTGTTGTGCATTGCAATAAGTTCAAAGGTTTCAAAATTTTTTATTCAAAAAATATTTCTTAAAGTTACATTTGTTTATCTCAATCTCGTGAATACACAACTAATATAATGCTGGGTGAATTACAACACTGGATCTGCTCTTCTATATATGTTACTTTCGTTTTTGTTTACATTTCTTTCTCTTTATGCTTCTGTGGAGGATGAAAGCTAGGTCACCAGCTAGCTGTTGTAAGTTCCCTAATTCAAAATATATTCAATATTATATATGTTTGCTTTTTAATGACTTTAATTTGTTTCTTTTACTTCTTGTTTGACGAATGTTTGGTAAGGAACTAACAGTGGGGGTTATAACATCATTTTTTTTTAATTAATATAGACAATTTAAAGACCCAGACACCCTTCACACACAGACGCCCACTCCTACTTGGCAACATAAGATATAGAATCGAGACATAAGCTCTTGGTAGCATTGTAGCGTCTAAAGGGCAACTTTCAAGGATGATCACATCTTGGGCTGTATATAATAACACTACCACATTTTAATGATTCAAGAGTTCATACACAAACTTATGAATTTTCCTTGTTAATTAATTAGTGATTAATTAAATTTAATTAAATTACAACCCAAAAAAAAAAAATGAAAACTACGACGTTATATCCACCCTCAGCGGAGTGGAAAACTTGTATATTATTTTACAACTTTTAACATCATATATTTGCTGCACAACTTACGTGGATGGCGAAGAAGACCTCCTTTTAGGCTCCAAACCATCAGTGAGATGCCACTCTGAAAAATCAATTACATTAAAAGCTATTCTATTTAATAAACTCAAGATAATGGACTCATCATGGCTATGGGTCTTATAATTAACTATGGAACAATTGCCCACACAAATAATAATGGTTCAACTTACGAAGATAATAGATTAAACATTTTTGTGCCAGAATCAAATTTATTTTATTTCGAGCACATATTTACTTGCCTCACTAGATTCTGCCCGCATATAATTTTTTTTACTTAATACAATAAACATCCCAGTTCCCCTTCATATTATTGTTTCAACCGAGAGTTTCAACCAAAAACAGTTTAATGTAGAGACTTGAAGTATGGATCAGAGGAAAATATGTTCGAAAACAAATAAAATTTATTAATATAGTTGTGTTATATTTTTCGGACCCCCTACTCTAATCATACTTCAAAATATATCTATGTCCTTGCGTGTAGAAGCATTTTTCCTTTTTCTTCTTCTTCTTCTTTTTTTTTTTTTGAACTTGAAGTCAATGGAGTTCGGGGGATGTATGTGTGTATGTATGTATGCCCCAACCAATCAAACAAATACACGGTATCTATAAAAAGAAAAGCCAGGAATTATATAATATATGCCAACTATTCTATTTCTGATCAATCAAAGCTAGTTCATGCTATGAACAAGCTACTAATTATACATATTTTTCTTGTATTTTGATAAAAAAGATATCTAATTGGTTATATATGTATTTATGTTTTTTAATTTAATTTGGAGTGTGTTTTTCACTTAATTAACTGGCTTAGGGGATCCGAAATCAGATCAATATGCGTCGTAGCACTCCCACACCTTAAATAAGTGGTTAGATAGATGAATTAGACGTTTGATGCGTAATCCTTGTGAATGGAGCACATTTAGTTGGAAGGGATTGGTCTATTACCTTAAAATGATTAGTTTTAATGCCCCTCGTGTTTCACCACAATAAATAAATAATAATGTATTCCCTTTGGTCCACAATATAAGTCATTTTAACTATTTCGTCAATATTAAAAAATGTTAATTAATTCATTAGTTGTGTTTTAAATAAATTTTTTTTTCCAATTTTTTTCATGTTAAATAAAGCTGTGAAAGAGAGTTAAAAATACAATGAGTTATATTTAAGTATTAATTGTAGGGACAAAATTAATAAATAAGTATTAATTACTCTTTAAGTGACTCATATTTTAAACCAAGTAATCCTTCTAGAAGTGACTTATATTGTAGATCAGAGGGAATATATGAATGAATAATTTGAAGTTTTATTGAAGGCGAGAGACTCATTGATAAATTAATAGTTTGAATAAATTAAAGGGAATTCAATGTAATCTATCTTTTATATGCCCAAGCTTGATTGGTATATATATTCATCTACTGAAAAAGAAGAAAACAAATTAAAGGAGATGAACCTTGTCATACGGCATAAATAAAAATTTCCAACCACGTAATTGTTAATGATAATTTCCACAAATGATGTTGATTGTCAGTGTTGCTAAATTCGAGAAGTATTACTTACGTAATTAGAAATTTATCACATAACTCAGTCATACATGCCACGACAATATTTTATTTCTACTTTTTAAGACAGCTTTCATGACCATAATGCCTCACATGAAATTGATTGATGTTAACCATTGATTAATTCTATTACCACTACTGCAATATCTATGTCTTTACGTGTAGAATATTCTATAGAAGAGTCCAACGGGTTTTTATTCTTTTTAATTTTTATTTATTTTGACCTTCAAGTCAATGGAGCTCGTGATTTGTATCTTCTCCAACCAATTATATGCATATTAATCTCTTTTTTTTAGTTTAACAGAAAAATTAATCTTTTAAGTTTTAACTCAAT